ATGAAATAAACTAATATTAACATAATCCAAGCATTTTTATTATTTGCAGAAGACATTTTACAGTGTCAATTTCAACCATAGATCTACCAACCATAGTGTATATATATATATATATATAACACCTTATATGTTCCAAATGTAGCAGCTAATCTTTTGTCTGTTCTCAAAGTCGCAGCTAAAGGCTATCTGTTAATATTTGATATTAATAAAAGTCATATTTTCCGGAAGGACAATGTGTGCGTAACCGGTTCCTGTGATTTGACAGCTACTAATGTGGACGGTATTTATAAAATTGATAATAAACGGGGATGTTATTCAGTATTTGCGAATGGTCAAGAGCCTAGTATAAGTAATTTCACAAAAAAATAATTGAATATCAATTCAATAAAAATTTAATTAATACAGTGAATAGCGACATCTCTCGCCAGGACTGGTAGCTGTAAAGGCACTAACTGGGTGATAAATCTGTAATAGATTTCTCATAGATGGCGCTACGACTAAAAAGTCGTTGAAAGACCAAGTACAAAAACACGACGCAAGCACGTAGAAAAATTCGTAAGGTCCGTTGGTTCGTTCCGTGGCTTAGTTGGTCTAGCGTCTGCCACGGTATGTAAGAAGACGTCGGTTCGAATCCGACCGGATCGAAAGAATTTTTTCTGAGTTATTTTTCTGAGTGTTCGATCTTTGTATTAATAATTATAACATTAGTAGAAAATCAAACCAATCTAAAGATAAAGCGCATTAGGAGTGATAACGGTACAGAATATAGTAATAAAAGTTTGGCGAATTATTTAAAGTAATGCGGTATTGTTTACGAAACAACTGTTCCTTATACACCACAACAAAACGGCGTTTCCGAACGTTTGAATAGGACGTTAGTTGAAAAAGTCAGAGCTATGCTGCAAGACGCTAATTTGGAGAAGAAATATTGGGCTGAAGCAGTAAACACTGCTTGTTATTTAAAAAAATCGTAGTCTAATGCTGCTTTGACTAAAGCTACTCCTGAAGAGCTATGGACTGGTAATAAAGTAAATCTCAGTAATCTTCGAGTATTTGGTAGCACAGCATTTGCTCTTACTCCACAACATCAGCATACAAAACGAACATCGGCATCCTCCATTTTGGTTCAAAGATTATGAAGTGAATTATTTCATGGAACTAGCGCTTACAGGACGAAATGAACCTAGAACGTACAATCAAGCTATAAAATGTGAAAAAGCGAAATATTGGTTAGAAGCTATGAAAGAAGAATATAATTAACTTTTGTCGCATTGACTTTTGAGCATTATAATCAAGATAGTTTGTGTAGCAAGAACAAGACGAGAACATTGGTCCTTCGAGCAGCGAGTTAGTGGTCTTTTTGCGTTTTTCGAGTGTTAGCGAATCGGTACAGTCGGCCTCCCACTAGCGGTTCTCACCGGTTGTATTGAGAAGGCGCATATAGCACCCATGAGCACATTAGGCGCTAACCAATCAGGAACCTGCAAGCATCAAGCATTACAGCAAGTAACAAGTGTGGAAGTTTTGTTGTGAAATGCAAGCTTACATACAGAATCAAGTTTGTGCACATTTGAACATTTTATTAACAAGAAAGGTAATGAATTCTTAAGTAAACAACATATTACAAGTTATAAGCGAATCATGAGAAAATGACGCAGTTCTTAACATCTGATGACAATTATTTCGTTGGGGATTTGTTACAAGAAAACCGAGCAAGTGTATTTAGAAGTCAAACTATATATTGAAGAAGAAAGCTTCGGCGGCACTTCAAAACTGTCTCCCGCAGTACTGCAACCCATCAAAACTCAGGAAAGTAGGAATTTTAAAGGTGAAAAGCCAACTACGTCTCGTCATATACAATTATTACAGCCGAACAACGATGAGGAGGACACTCTTATAACACACGGAAGAACAAGACGCGAACACAAGCATTGGGTATGATGGTTGAAAGGAACCGAGAGCAAGGAACTTTAAAGCTGACACAGTCGGAATATGTAAAAAGATTGTTAACAAAATTTGACATGGAAGATTGTTACAAAGTAGCGACTCTTATGGAAGTCAATTTCAATCTGCCGAAAGCAGAAACAATCGATAAGCGGTTTCCGTATCAGGAACTAATTGGTACTTTAATGTATCTCGCTGTTTGCACACGTCCAGATTTTGCATTTGCGTGCAGTAAACTCAGCCAATATAACACTTGTTATATTATAATGAATCGTACTGGCTCGCAGCTAAACGTGTACTGCGGTATCTTTCAGGAACAACTAGCTATGGACTCAATTTTAGGAGAGGTAGTAATAAAGTTGAAATCTCATCCGACCCACATTGGGTGGGGGATAAGACTGATCGAAAGCTATATTCATGGTTTCTGAGTAGGTTCGGCTTATGCATTGTAAATTGGTACAGTCACAAACAACAAAACGTGACTTGTTCTAGCATAGAAGCTGAATACTATGGCTCTTGGGAGTTCTGTAAAAGAGGCAAAATTTTTGAATTTTTTTTATTTGAATTTAAATACAGGAGCCTGTCACCATCAGAACCTATAACATTTTTTTATGACAACCGCAGCACACTCAAAATGGTAGAGAATGAATGTTTTAGGAGAACTAAACACATAGACGTTCATCATCATTTCATTCAAGAATGTGTTGATGATAAAGTAGTCTGTTTAGAGTACAAGCCTTCAACAGAGTAAAAGGCAGACCTGTTTACAAAAGCCTTACCTAGGGCAAAGCATGAGCTGTTTGTAAAATCTTTGGATTTAGTTTAGGTTACCGAACTATTATTGTAATTTGTACTCTCGCACCATGTTTTTATTACTTAATTATGATTGCTCGTGTATGGGGCAGTTTTGGTAAACCTTTTTGTTCTGTCTTTACACAGGAGCTTTTATAGCACACAAGTTTATATAATGTAATATTTGAATTTGTAAATAGCACCTTTAAAATAGTGTAAGTTGTTAGTTTAATTTCTTTTTTAATTTTCATATTGCAGTAGTTTTATAATAATTCATGATGTCTTTGCCAAAGCCTTAATAAATTAAAAAAAAATCTAAAAGTTGGGTTATGTATGTGTCATTGAAATGAAATATCCGTTGATTCCGTTTATTCTTTGTTTTCATGTTATTTTGAAATAGCTATTTGATATTAAACAGTATATATATAATAGAAATATAGACGTAACAGATTTTCGCAATGTTCATATCATCAAAGGTGAGTTTTTGTTTTATAAAAATAAATTTTAGTTGTTTTTCATGCACATTGATTTTAAAGCCGATTTTAACTGTTTATGTAAAGTATGTTTTCTCGTTATTAGAGGACTACTAAACGTTTATATTGCTCATGACGTGAATTTCTCATTGGGTTTATACAGTTAAAGGTAAGTTTATAAGGGTGTCTTCTGAAAATTCAAGTTCATAAGGGTGTCTTCTGAAAATTCGTTATAGTGCGTGTTGATTTTTCAAGCGTACTTGTCTTTTACGGCTTACTAATTTCAGGTTCCTCTTGTAGCACGTCAAGTTCTAGGAAGTCACTGTCACCAACTACATAGTTCCACATTTAAATTAAGTGCTCAGAAAACAGAGAAAAGTAAGTAGGTAGATTTCTGTTCGTATTTTCGATCATGCTATGTACTAGTACAATGGAATTCATTTTGTGGAATTTCCCTGAATACTCCAGACCAGAAGTAATTTATAAAAGTTTATTTCCTATATTGAATTGACCCCAGGAACCCCTCATCCAGCGCTCGCAGTGCAAACTGTGGGACCACTGAGGTTTTTAAAAGTATGTAATATGTCTGCCATGTTTACTTTAAAAGACCTGAGAAAACATTTTTAGCATCAATACAACTTTCTATATCATTATTTCACAACCTATATACTTAAGCAATGGCTTTTTAAAGTGTGTTGAGCAGATGTTTAATCTCCTGCACATCTTACATCGCCACTTAGAAACCTTGTTTCTAGTAAATATTATGTGCTATTTTCACATTGTTAAACACAAGTTTTCTTTTAGCAATAAATCAAGTCACTCTACTTGGTAGAGTAGGCGCTAATCCACAAAAAAGAGGAACAGAAGAACACCCAGTTGTAAATTTCCCTCTGGCTACACACTTTAGCTACAAATATGAATCTGGGGATATACTACAAAGAACTGATTGGCATAGAATCAGTGTTTTTAAACCAGGCCTACGAGACACAGTCTACAAGTTCTTGAAAAAAGGCCAACGAGTATATATTACTGGTAAACTGTCCTATGGGGAAGTGAAGCTGGATGATGGCCAAGTCAGAACAGCATCTACTGTTATAGCAGATGATGTCATATTCTTCCAGACATTGCCTTCAGAAACTGAGACTTAATAATTATATTGTTATAAGATCACACAAGAATTTTTTAGAAAACAGATGCTTGATTATCGGCCGCTTTCTATATTTGATCCTGAATCTAAGATTGTTTTCTATCCAGATTTTATTCGATCCATTGATCGCTGCTGAATCTGCATTTCTCTAGCTCTAGCGCCCCTAAAAAAAAAGGATCGGTCGTAAATTTATTCCCTTTCTGACGTTTAGTTCCACGCAATCGGAATAAAAGATCATTACATGAATTAGTGACTAAAATGGTGGTTATGTTTCTAAGATTAATTTATTTATATATGTGATTTTGGCAAAAATATAAATTTATTGCAAACTTTCAAGTATAAAATATTTAAACCGTAAGTACATCAAGAATAACGTGTTTCGAGGAACAGAACGGAACGTCTATTGTCCAGAATGGAACGTTTGTCAAAGGAGCAGGACGGCCATATAGGATGGAAAAAAATAAAGAGACGGCATGCGGCGAAATGTTAAATGTTAGTGTCAATTAATGTTTTCTTGATGTTTGTTCGTATTCGTGACGTGACAAATAGTCTAAATTATAAAAATACCGTTTTGATTTGACTTTCAAAAACGGCATTATTGGAGTTAAAACAAATTCATCTGATGTTTTGTTCAGCCTAAATTTGGATATAAATTCAGCGTCAGTTAAACTTACCATGAAGTTTATACGCCTAAACGTTCTTGAGGACACAAGCTGCTCTTGGTCGCTGTCGCTATTGTCCCAGTCCGATAACTGAGCAAATGTTCAACTTCACAGTTGCTATCACTTAAAAATAACTTCCATTTTTACACGATTACACAGTACAATCGGTCAAAATTGGAGGATCGCTACTATAGATCGAACACGTGCAAAATCCGATTTGTTAAAGCTATGGATTGGATATAGAAGGCGCACAACAGTCACTACCATACAAATGTTAATCTAAAAATGCCATCCCACAGATGGATTGAAACAAAAGATCGGATTAACGATCCGTCGATCGGTTATTGAAATAGTAAAACTAGGATTTGGATTGATTATTCAAGCTTAGAAAATTATGGATTGAGATTGACTATAGAAAGCGATCGTTAGTCACAAAACATTATCTTCTGTAGTTATTAAGAAAAAAGTGTTAGATTATTAAGTTAATAAATTTTAATTATTTCTTTTTAATATTTTATTATTTTTTTCTTTGTTCACATTTTTATTATTTTATAATTTATAAATTATGTGGAATTTGCGGTTATTTGTTGATTGATTAAAGGACCTTCAAAGGAAAGAAAATAATAGTGTAGGATAACATTATTTCCATTTATTTTAAGTTATAATAAATTTGACACAATATATTTTAATGAATCATCTTTATATTGTGTACAAGTTGGAAATCATGGCAGGCATGCCAAAATAGAAATAATTGTAAAAATACAAACTCATTTGTAATTCTTACACATATACTAGGTACTTTGATAAAGCTCCACTTTGTTTTACAAATCATACATACATTCTCTTTACAGTCAGTCCTTAATCTATCTTACTTATATAATCTAACTTGGATAATATTTACAAATTCTTATAGTCTACCCCCTAAGACATTTACCTACATTGATAAAAGAGATCACAGAAAATTGTAGCTGGAAATCTTTGAGTAAAAGCCCTAGCATTCTATGTCTACCACTTTTGTTTTTATCACAGTGGATGTTTTTTTTATTTCAAGGCATTTTGTTTAGGTATAGCTTGTTCATTGTTATAGTCATCTGCTCTTCGCTCTTGAATGCAGCCAGTTTAAATTAGTAACAATCACCAAAGCTGCCTAAAATTGTAAACCAAATAGTAACTTGGGTTTGTGGTATGTATGTACAATTTGAATTGTTTTCACATGCTACAATTGAAATTTTTGCCAAAATTTGTTTCAATGGAAGACTGTAATTCAATAATATGTTAAAAATCTCAACACAATCTAAGTTTTTTGCTACTTATGTTTTGAGCTAAATATTTAGCCAATTTAATACAAGTATGAATATTTAAGTATATACAACTAATTAAATTACAAAATGCATCAATGAGCGCGGAGCACGCGTACACACAAACACACACACATAAATGGATATTGACTTCTGGCAATGAGTTATGCTATTTCTCAGTCATGAGTCAACAGTTGAGTGAATGGTCCATTGCACAAATTATTAAAACAGTCTATATCTTCAACACAAATAAACTCTTGTCCCATTTTGTTAACTAGGTACATACTTTGTTAATTGACACTATTAGATAAACCACTTGGCACAAAGGCATATGAGGTCCATACCCTGTTGAACTCCATTGACCATGCTAAATCTGTCAAAGTTCTCTCAGTTTTGTAACAACATATAAAATCTCATCTATGTGATTTTTGAGGAAGACGTAAATTATGCTACCTGAGAGGATATTGACTAGAACTTTAGTGGTTGGAGCTGTTTACACTGTAAATGCACAGCGCATCGCACTACAAAGTGTCCCGCGTTGATGATCATTGTTCACATTTTTCACTTTTGAGGTTGAGCGCGAAGTGTTCAGCATTGTACTCTGACTCCCTCTTATGCATCATGGTGTCACCGATGAGCGCGCTAATGCGGTGCTTATCGTGAGGCGAAGCAATAGGCGAGGGTTCAGGCCGTGCGCGCTTCCGCCATGGCTCTGATGCTGCCATACTCAAGTCAGTCGGCATATCCTCATCGACTGGCTCCTCTTCGCAACGCTCCTCCTTCATCTCCGTTTTCACGACGGCTTGTGGCGCAGCTACCCGGGTTGGGCTCATTTGTTGCCGCAACAAAGAGATATTTTTAATGTTCTTCAGTTCTGTAGGATTTCGGAGAAATCTGTTGACAATAGAGTAAAAAAGTAATTAAGGGTCACTGTTATTTTAATACTTAATATTTTTTTATGAAGTATAAATACTCACTGGTAACAGTGCCGTTCGCCCTGCACTTTCCGGAGTATGTTGACGCGGTAATAGTAACGTAGAGCTCTAGACATCTTATCGTAGTTCATCGAAAGATGGTTCTTCTGAATGCCCCATAATTTTGCAAGTCCAGCCGGGTCCACGATCTTGAAAACTCCAGTTTCTCTGTTTTTCCACGCAATATAATTTGTATATCGCTGCGTAGGATCATTGAGAAGTTGTTGCAGGAAGTCCCACAATAGTCGTCCATCTGAAAACGCAGAAATTACGAGTTAGTATTTCTGAAAAAGGTTTGATGTTGAGAATTATCCAAATGTTACATAATTATTATTTACATCAGATGCTTTTGTACACGATACTTACTTGTGTTAGATTCGGGCATGTCGCTTGGGAAAAATTCTCTATGTTGCGCCCGGTAGTGCGAATGTTGCTGCGCCGGGTGCGATTGTGGCGCTGGGCTGGCCAAAGGCGCATCCTTAGGTGAACGTGGGTTTGGAGCAAATTGTCCTTCTTCATCAGAGTCAGAGTGATTGCTTCCTGAGCTAGGCTGCGCTGAGGGTTGCACTTGAGGCGGGTACGCTGGAGCATATGTGACCGGCTCTCCTCTTTGCGGGCTTCCTGAGCTATCGACAGATGGTGCGGGGCTTAAGGTCACGGAGTTAGGTTGGGCGGCGGCGGCAGCTGCTGCGTTATGGAAGTGGTGAAACCCATCGACGGCCCATGTGGGCGTCGGAGGGTGAGAGTGAGGGGAAGGGGGGTACGGCGCAGCGCGGGCAGTGGGAGTTACTGGCGAAGAAGGAACTCTGCCCAAAAGCGCCGCGTCGCGAACCAACATTTGCAGGACGTTGTGTAAAACATCGCCAGCTCCAGGACAGCGTTCGCCCAAATCCGTCTTTGTTAAAAGGCACAAGGCCTTTCCTATAACACAATAAAGAAATAAGTTAGCAATGTGACATTTCATTTTGAACAATTAATGAATTTTGTGTGACAATGCATTTCTATTATTTGTCAATACAAGTAATACCTCAACAATTTGCATACCATTCATTTGAAAGAGATCCATGTCGAAGTTGGGCAAATCGAATTCTCTTTCACACCACTTGAGGAAAACAGCGACATCTTCCCTCGTCCACAATCTGGGTTCGGGAGGTAAGCCAGCGGGTAGCTGAGCTTTAGTGTCGCCCAAGGGCGACGGAGGTGGCGGAGCCCACGGTAGTGGGTATCGCCACAGGAGTTCAGTTGGGCTGAATGGTAGCGGCAAGCGCTCCATGCTGGGCCCCGATGGCAGTTGTAAGCTGACCACTTTCATTACGACAATCTGTAACAAGACCATGAGTTGTAAATATGCTGGATTCCAGTCTTGTCATTTACTTAGGTGTATATTCATTCCACATTCCAGGTACATTTATTCCACATTCGCTTTGTTCGTTTTAGGTCATTCAAAATGCAGGCGTAAATAATGTTCTTATTATTAATATTCAGATAAGATTCTGTTAATCTTGCAATAATATCATATCACCGAGCTCTAATTAAATTGAACAGTATTTGTGACATCATCTAAGTTATTTGTTTCTATACAAATAACATATGTCACTACTCGATAGCAGATGGCGCTACTTTTCGAATTAATATAAAATCATTTTATTAATATTTTAATTTACCTGGCGTACTAAATTATTTGGTAATATTTGCCTTAAAAATATATATTTCATGTGAAGTACTACGAAGTCTAATTATTGAATATTTATTATAATTAATTCTTTAAAATTCCTTGTCGTTCTTCGACCGAATTGTTGTTGTAATATGAGTTCTATCTATTATACGAATTGCATCTTGAAAATCCTTTGGTATCAATTTAAAACTATGTATACCTACATATTGCTTTAACCGGTCGGCCACACATTTCTCCCTATCAAAAACGGTTTGCTTGCTTTCTGTCCGCCTCCGTCTCTCTGATGTCGATGACCTACGCTTTTCGTTGACGAGTCATGGTCAAACAAGAGTTAAGAAATTCAAATTAACTTCGTGTATATACTATTTATGTAAGACAACTTACTTCTTATGACTTTGTACAGTTGTTTTTGCACCGCTAGTACCTTTTGTAATAAGACTGTCTTCTAGACAATATTATGATAGTTTTCTTAGATGCTAAATTCAAAGTAAACTAGCGTAATATAGTAGATTATACTACAATATTCTTTTATTGTATGTATGTGTAGTTATATAAGTCACATATTGTTTTATTTATTGAATATGCCATGCAATGGTTTCATTTTAGCAAATGTTTTATTGTGCTTGCTACATTTGCAGCTTATGTAACGGTGGCAGGTTGATGCAATAATCGATTAGTTGTAGTTATTATAGTAACAGCTTACACATTAGCAAAATAATTTTTCTTCGGAGTATATAGCTTGCTGTTTATAGTTTTTTTAAAGATTCGCAATATTGTTGCTACTCATGATACCTAAGTTCTTAGTCACAACGACAACGAAGGTGTTTCAGGTATTTACTATTATACTTTTTTTTTTGCTGAATTGGCGCTTTGTTACAGTGATCACCCGCTAATAATATCTATAGGTTTTTAAAGAGTTTTGATAACATGCCTTGTACAGTCTACCGATTGGCGAGTCTGGCAGTTATGCGGTTAATTATGTACTTGCTTTATGTTCGCGAATTAATAACACTTAAGCAGGGGACTTACATAAATATAATGTTCAAAATTATAGAGTAAGGCACCTGCTGATTCCAATTTTTGTAGGGATCAAGCGGCATTGTTAGAATATAGGGGTGGATATTATTATTTGACGCCCCTAATCCCAGGGGAAGTGTCGGGTTTGAAAATAATTAAGGGATGCACGTGTACAGTTACACTACTCCGCGATAAAATACTAAAACATTAGTTCACTTGGTCCATATGCTTGTGGATTTCACGTACCATAGTTTATTCATTTATTAATTATAGATACTCAATCTTAGTAGAAATGAAACATATCTTTAGCAGTTATTTCCATTCTTACTAAACATAAATATGCAACGAATAACAAAATTACAAACATTGACTGATTAGATGGCCTATTCCAAAACTAAGGCAATAATACTTATCGACAACTAGGAACTACTATTTCTATAATAACGATGTGCTATTTCATTTAAATTGTAGTCTGCCAAATCCGGTCGCTAAGTAAGCTACAACAGCCTTATCGAGTATGGTCGGAAATGCGTGAACGCGATAACACGGTCTGCGATAAGCACCGCTACTCACCGGCTGAGCTGGTCCGGAACTGGACGTGTCGTCAAAATCCTTGGAGTTGGCAGACGAATTTTGGACAATTCAGCACATATACATCTTCACAACACTTGTAGCACAGTATCCAGTGTTCACAGAGCACTAGGCACAGACGTAAATGCGGCGGTCCCTCCAAACGTGTCGTGTTACGGCACGCCGTAAACCAGCAGCGTATCTGAGGGATCGGGCGCACGCGGGTAACGCGAGCAGCTCTCCGACGCGGACTGATGATGCGGTGGCGGCGCGGGCGGACGGACGCACGCCTGCAGACCCCCCCCCCCCCCCCGCACTACCCGGCCTCGTCTCTGGCTCCACAACGCCACACATATTGCTGAGATAAAACTTTGGGAGTCAGACCGAGTCCCATTTTAAACCAAAAGTATCAGTGACGTTTCCGCAAACCGTAATCAAAGTTTGTTGGGGGTGATAGACAACGATGCCTAACGTTACGTTGCGATTGGTAATGGACTTAAGAGTATGTAGCGGCGTTTGTATGCCTAAGGCACGCGGAAGTACTGCGGGTCGCTTGGTTACGTCAGCGCGCCTGTTTTTAATAACTCTTATAATAAATATATTTCCTTGTTTGCACACTGAGCATAAGTGTGACATGATTGGTTTAAGCAATTTATAGATTAGTGCACCAGTTTAGCTCGAACACGTATCTAATATTAGGAATTACGATTGTCGTAACACTGAAAATATTACTTTTGTCCTGGTACGTTTCTAAAACAATTCATTCGTAATGTGTACTATGAAAATGCAATAATAATTTATAACTAACTGTCTATGAAATCTATGAATCTTAAAGAACAAATGCAATTACTTTTTAAGGAAGAAACAGGTCACTCCAGTACGAGTATGTACTACCTACATCTAACTGTCGTTCGGTTGTGTTCTAAGTGGCGTTGGTGATGGTTGTATCGAACAAAGAGCACAGGAAATGTCTGAGTAAAGCAAACGGCCAGCAGTTTCCTGGTGCAGAGTGAGACAATATGAGCGCCAACCGGTTAGAGCTGAGCTCATTCGACCACGTACCATACGCATAATGTGCTTGTGGTTATGGTGACGTGAATCATTGCTGTAATTCCTACGATTTCTACAAACATACTGAAAACCTCTCAAATTGACGGTTTAGATATACAATAGTTTTCTACTATTCCTGCATTAGCGTACCTATATTATCAGTTTGACGTACCTCAAGACAGAATTTTGAGTGTGTCGGGCGGGTGGTACGGAACCGATGAGCATCGGCTACAAATATCCTATGATTCATGGTGTAGTATAATTTGGCTAGGCTAGTGCCAGCCTGTTTGGAATCCTACTGGAGCAGACACTTGTCTGCTCCAGTAGGCGAGAGCCGTGTTTCATACGTGTTGGCGTATGTGTGAGTCAAAATAATCTTGTGTGCCCTGGCCGCCGTCCCACTACCGGTTCGAGACAGAAATATTCGGCAGCCAAGACGGAAGTGGCCTCGGAATCTTTACCTGTTGCTCCCTTCGCCCGCCCCGCGCCGACTGCTCGCGCCATCTCGCTCGCTCCCTGCGCGTTGTGGGTAGTAGCGGTTGGTTACACGCGGCCGCTTTCATCGTGAAGTTATGCACAGTAATTTGGGGAATAAAAGAATATGATGTTCGGCCATACGTACGTGATCGTCGTGAGTCTTGACCGTGACCGTCGATCTTGCCACTCCTTTCACGTCAACTTTTTTACGCTTAGTGTTACGTAAATATGTTTACGTTTCCATGACTGTTGCATTACAGTTTCCAGTCTCAGATGCGGTGTCTAGAGTTTTATAAAACTTAAATCCTGCATTATGGAAACAAGAAATATGTTAACCATTTGTGTCTAATAAGTATGAAAGTTGAGATTACTTGATTGTAGTCTGCCACGTGTTGGATAATAATTTTCAGCAGTGTCTCATTGTGAAAGATAGCAAGATGCACGCACAGTGCTACAAATATCAAGGAAAATCTAAAAAAAAGTAAATGCATGACTGTACGCTTTACAATACACCTACATAGATGCAACTTATATGACTTATATCAATACCCTGTTACTTACACAAATTGTAGGTATTTATCATAATCATTACTTATCATAAAAGTATTTCCGTTTCATAATAATATCAGAACGTGCAAGCTATTGACAAAACTATGCACGTAATGACGATCCATTTTTCACAATTGTTATACTATTTTACTAGGAAGTTAATATATTATGATAATAATTAAATTTTTATTGAACACAGTGAATAGCGACATCTCTCGCCAGGACTGGTAGCTGTAAAGGTACTAACTGGGTGATAAATCTGTAATACATTTCTCATAAATGGCGCTACGACTAAAAAGTCGTTGAAAGACCAAGTACAAAGACACGACGCAAGCACAGAGAAAAATTCGTGAGGTCTGTTGGTTCGTTCCGTGGCTTAGTTGGTATAGCGTCTGGCACGGTATGCAAGAAGACGTCGGTTCGAATCCGACCGGATCAAAGGAATTTTTTCTGAGTGTTATTATGATAATACTAAAGTTTTTTTGTTTATTATTGGGATAATAAGATACTTCGTGGCATTACACTTCTGTTTATTTTGTGCTTTATCTTTATCTCTGTAATGTTTAGATAATGTTAAAAGTAATATAAATAATTATATTATGTCATGTGGCCTCATCTTGTAATCTCGATTGTAACAAAGAGTTTGCCTTACGCAAATATTCACTACTTGGTTTTTATATTATTTTCCTGATCTTTCTTTTTTGCAGTGCATAAATTTGAATAATCTTGGAGCCCCATTGACTTATAAATGGAGCCCCTATATATAGTCTCTAGTAATTAGATATGTTTCGATACATAATTATGAAAATCTTAGCTCGTTAATTTTTATTACGTGTTCATTTCATCAATTGCTAAGTTTTAGTTAAAAGCGTGATTAAATCAATCACTACATTTATTTACTAAAATACATTTATTTTTGAAAAATTTTTCGTAATTGTTTGTCTAGGAATGTAAGTAATAGGAAATGGTAGACATGGAAGCTTAAGTCGGAAATTAATACACGCGGGAAAAGGAAATTAGACAGGGGCCGCTGTGGGTACCGGAAGACAGGGGGTTAGGGAGGGACGCGCGAATCTCTGCTTCAGCTTCCGGTGACGACCGGGTACGGAAAACGAACGGGCACGTAGCGGAAGCAAAGACCCGTCCTTGTCCGCTAACATTTTCATCCTGTATAACCTACATACTATCCGTCTCATAGATAGTATATAAATAGGTACTTAATTACCCATGCATATGAGAAGTGTGTGACGTCCTGGCGACAAGTGCTGAAACAAAGAATAATATGCTAACGGACAAAATAACCGATACAAATAAATATTGCTTTTGTTAATAAAATATTAACTATTTTATTAACAAAAGGTCGAGATTTAATTAATATAGTCTTGATTTCGTCCAACGTAACTTAGTGAAAATTGCACCGGAAGCCGGGAAAAGTGTTGCAAACTCAGCGGAGGGCTAGACCGGACGCTACACTATTTTATATTGCAATTGTATGGCAGCACTTCCTGTGCTATGACCCGAATTAGTTTGTTACTTCGAGCTAAAGTCGTAAACACTAACCGTGTTGTTTTCTGTCTGAATGCTCTTACACATAGATGTTACTGTTACTGAAGTGCAATTTACATTATTATAATGTTATTAATTAACAATTATTAATAAAATTATGAAAACAAGGCCCAGCCCAAAGTAAGTGTTGTGGCTTGCTTATCTTTAATACCACCTACATTGTGAAAATGGCTGAGTAAAACTAATTGACGCATTATTTATTTAATTGGTTTGGTACTTAAATTTCTTGCAGATTGACAATATTTTTTAATGAAGCGTATAATAGTTGTAAAATGAAAACTAAAGAAAACACACGGTCCAGAAGTGTAGACATCTTATTGACTCGTTCTATTTCATAGTTGTTCATTTCTAAAACGAAATTAGTCATCGAATGTAGTACAAATGTTAATCAGAATTCAATGAAACGTGTTGCAAAACTGCAAGCACTCGTCGACGCACTTCCGAGCCCGATCGTGGACCGCGAGAGCCGCGACCCCAATTCCGCTGTTGTTCTTACATTACATAATCAGGTGCCACTAAGAACTAGGCAACGATGTCACGCCGAAAAATTGCGCCACTTACCTACGGTTGCGGACTAGAAGCCTTAGTAGGTAATGTTATGTTACCGATGTTGAGAAATCAGAGTGAGCGGCTCTGAAATAAAACGCGAGATATTTACAATATCCGTATTTGTAGAAGTAACGATAATTTTAATACGTTTACGTATACTTTACTGTCTACGAATTGCTAATTTTAATTAAAATGTAACTTGTTTTGAAGGTAAATTGCTTTTTGAGTATTGTGGGTTAGCACGTTGACGCATGTCATGTTGTGTTCTAAATGCCCTTCCTCAATTGTAATCAAATGTGATAATTACTTACTATTTATATGATTGTACTACTTTTACTAATACGTAATATGTGATCTGATATTACTGTAGTCTACTCCTCAAAATAGTAAAGTCGATCGTGTGATAGATATTATTTACATAATTTATGAAATATAATTGTAAACATACCGTAGCATACCGTATATATTTTTATCCGTAATGTTCATAAGAAATTTTCATTAAATCTTCGACCATAGAGTATAATTGAAGTTTTGTTTTATACTGTTAAGTATTGTCATAGACTTTGCGTTACTAAAGTTGAAGCAACAACAACGACAAAAGTATAGAAACAAAATTGATTTCAATTTACAATTCTGTTAAAGGATGATGTTTGCATGCCAACGTTTCCTTCTCAAAGATCCTAAATTACAGGCGGCAAAGAAATTGTCCACTTCCGTTGACCTCAGCCGAGTCCACTCTCCGTCACGCAAACAAGACTAACACGATGGCTGGTAATGTTTAGATACAAGAATTTATAGGTAACCTACCTAGTACTCATGCCATTTTAAATTGCTCTTCAGTACAGTTACTTTGCAACTGTACTTAATTTCTACCATTAATTAATTTCTTATAATTGTAAATCGACGTGAGACAGCAACTTGGAAAATTCAAACATAAAATAAAATTAAAACGTGATTTTAACGAGTAACCTCTGCTGTGTTTCGGAGCGCACAAGTGTCACATGACAACGCAACCCCTCCGTTTAGGATCAACACAATAAAAAAAAACCGGATCGGATATGCACCCGTATATCAGAGGGTAC